TGGCGGCACCGTTATACGAAGGAAATTACTGTACTGCAAAACAAAAATTTATATGATTTATGTATGGCTTTTTGCTTCCTTTGTTTCCTGTTTTCCATTCGAGGCGCTTTTCCTCGGCACAGGGTGTGGAGGGTGATTTTTGGATTTGGATCTCGACCCTTGGCTTACTCATTGAAGGAGGATAGAAAGTTATGAAAATTGAGATTGCTGCAATTGATAAGTGGGTTTTTCCCTCAAAAATTGTTTTCTGTTTTATCAGTTTCCAGAAATTGTCTTTGTTTTCGCCCATACATAATGTTTTTTCAACGCTTGTTATGAAATATGTGATTATTAAATTTGTTGATTTTTCAGTGTGCAGTGGCTTTCCATAATGGTGGAGCTTTGTAATCTGAAGAACTATTGCATTTGGGAATATGCACCGGAACTTCCGGGGGCTGTTGTTGCGCTTTTCCTGGGGCGACCCCTATCCGGGCTGGTTTATTCCCGAATCTCACAGCTACTCTGTCAAATTGACAGTGAAGAGGCAAAGCCAAATTCGGTCGTCGAACTGATTTTCCTCTACATTGGTTAGTTATGCTTGAAATTTTCATAAAATTTGAGCCCCTTTTCTAGCTTTTCTTCGCAAAAAAGTGTTATTTTGGCATGCTATTCAGTATCGCTGTTTTTCATGACGCATTTCACATTATCACTGCATTCAAGGATTTTCCCTTATTTGCATTTTTCCTTATTTTTCCTTTAATTTTCCTTAAATTTTTCCTTAATTTTCACCGCAAATTTTTTCTTAAGCTGCATCAATAGATGTGAAAAATCTGTTGCTCATTACTGCAATTCATTTTCTTTCATTCTTCATTTTTCGAAATAAAATTTTTCGAAATTCGGAAATTTTTCCCTCTTTTCGTTCATAGTCTTTGAGTTTTACCGAATAATACATTTTCTCCCTTTTCTTTTAACAGTTGTCATATATGGTAGGGGATTTTTCCAGGTCTTAAACTTTAGGAGTTTGGAAAGCCTGTGTAAAAAGCACATGTAGAATAAATGTATGATTTTTCGCTTGACCTATACATCTGGGAGTTTTTTCATTTTTTTTAGTGATGTTATTTGTGTCCCATGGTATTTCGTCTCTTGTTACCTCTGACTTGAAGAAATTAACATCCCAAGGGTTCTCCGCTCACTTTTTTAAATCGTTTTGAGATATTTTTTTATTTGTGCGGAACACCACCTCCTCTCCCAGAACGACGTTCTTTGATCGGCTGTGATGAAAGGTACCTTAATGAATTGGAAATTCGCAAAGAATGTTGGGAACACAACATGTATTTTTTCCCCGTAATGTATTTTTGCATTATTCCAGATCGAGGAAACAGTGTAACGAACGAATCACTGGAATGGCTACCGGATCTACTCTTCAGACTTTGTGCTGAAAAGTTGTCACCTTGGACCTCTGATCCGGAGAAGCAACACAAGAATTGTGTAATCAAGCAGTGTCAAATGCTTCTTGGGCTCACTACAGTGATTGCTCCCCAGAATAAGAACAAATCACTTCGGGTTCGTAATTTTTTTCGAATTCTAGTGTCTCTTATTTCATCATCTTGGCGGCATATACCTTTACAGTAATGTATCTTCGAATTTGTTTCCCTTATACTTGTTTTCTCAACAAAAATAGCATTACTTATGATTAGCGTGCTAGAAATTTCACTCTCCTTCATCTGTTTTTCAAAACGGAGAATTTTATTTTTTTTTTGTTCAAATTTTACTTTCCTTTTTTTCTGTTTTTCAAAATTTCTGTTTTTCCGTTTAAAAATTTCGTTTTCATTTTTTCCGCTTTCCATGTCTTAGCAATTTTTCTGCACATCAACTATATGTTTAGTAACTTCTTCCGACATTTTTGCACAGATTTTCCATCCTTGTTTTTGCTTACACTGGCTGGGAAGGAGAGAACGCTGAAGTGAAGGATGCTTGGAGTGACCCATTGTGACTATGTGAACAATCAGACTTTCTGTTAGATGAGTGACATATGAAATATCACTGTGATCATGCGAGAAAGTAAAATCCGGTGGACGGATTGCCTAGGTGATAGATAACCAGTGAATGTCGTGATGGTATGTAAAAGATCTAGCGAGTGACACCTGCGGGAAAATAAGCGGTCATTTTGACGCGAATATTGGGCATCACAGAGCCTGGCATAACTATACCCTGTACGAGCATCCCAGTGATAGCATTAGCACAAGACCCTCGCTCTGACTGTTTTTTGTATCATGCGTGTTAAGCACAAATAAGTCATAGCTTCAGTTATTTTGTGAAAATTATCATTGTAACTTTGATATTTATGTCATTTTGGGGTCGAAATATTTCAGGATGTGCTTGCTGTTCTACTTTGGACAACATCCTGTATTCTTTGGCATAATATGAACGTAATAGAACGCCGCTCTGACACCCTGGCAATGTGTACAGATTTGGCACCTCCGTTGCTTCCGTCAGTTTTTTTTTTTTTAGTTTTTAGGAAACGGAAATGAGGAATTATTTGCTGCTCAAGCACACTAATTTAGGGTTTTGAAAAAATATACACATTGACACAGGCTAAATTGCAAAATTTTGGTCTCGGTATTTCGGTAATTTCCTACAGATTTCGAATTATCTTAGGCATCTTTGCGAAATGGCTGTAGATATAAGCGAACAGTGTAATGATACGTTGGCCAAATCTGCATCCTGGCTGTTG